GAAGGAAGGAAGGAAGGAAGGAAGGAAGGAAGGAAGGAAGGAAGGAAATTGGCCCTTTTGGGGGGCTCCATTTTGGCTTGCAATGGGCCGGGGAGGCCCATGGAGGCCCGAACAGAACTGCAGAGGAGTGCATATGCCTGAGAGGCTGAAGAGGAGACTGCTTACTAGATCTTCACAAGGTAAGTGACCTGGCACAGCAGGTTGGAGGGAGGGAAGCAATTGTGGGGAGATTCACTCCCACAAATCCTCAGGTTACGAATGGAATAGGCAGGCTCCATTACATTTGTAACTCAAGGACTACCTGTATGTAGTGCATGTTAGTGGCAAACTAAGATCATAAAATTACTTGTTATGTAGGTAAGTGGTCCTCTCTTTGCACTTGTGGGAACCCATGTCTGAAAGACAATGTCTCCTAAAGCATCAAAGTTAAAAACATCACATATGGATGTCTAATAAGATTCTGTTCACGGAGAACATATTGAAGGAGTAGAAAATATGGACTTGGAGCTCCTCAGCTAAGTAAGTTGAAATGACCTGTCAAAATAGTTCCATACTGAAATCACAAAGAGGTCTTTGGAGAGTAGATGAAGCAGTGAGAATAATTACAGTCACAACATTTAAGACGTGTAAAATAGCTTGTAAAAGGCTTTGGTAGAATGCATGGCAACTCATGGATATTAATTCTTTTCTCAAAGCTCCTGAACAAAACAAAACATAACCTTTTATGTGACATCTCCTTCTTCAATTAAGGGAGGCTACATTACTTTTGACATGTAGAAATATATAAAAAAAATAATCTATTAACTTTAATACAAAACTATGAAAAATAAAAAGTATATCACATAGTTTCTCTCTCTCTCTCTCTCTCTCTGTGTGTGTGTGTGTGTGTGTGTGTGTGTGTGTCTGTCTCTCTGTCTCTGTCTCTCTTTCTCTCTGTCTTTGTCTCTTTGTCTCTGTCTCTCTATATGATTGTGTGTGCATAACTGCAAGTTTAACACAGCCTAAAATAAAATATTTAGTGACGATACATAATCAAAATGCACTTAAATATGCCATTTTAAATTTAGATATGGGTGAAAATCCAACGACATTGATGTCAATAACAATTACTCAAAGCATCATGAGTTCCATGTATGTTTTCCA